ATTATAAAAGAAATAATTTGTTAATTTTTGCACAAGAGAAATTATAATAAAATATTCTTTCTCAGGTGGATTGAACTTTAACAGCTTTAAATTTAAGATTTTCATATAAGTTTTTCATTATTTTAAATTTTAAAATCTGAAGAAATTTAATTCTTTAAATTTTTGTTAAAAAATTTTAATTTGCTTAATAAAAATGATGGGAATAATAAATACTGGGTTCTTTTGAATAATAGAACTACTTTGTTGACCATTATAAATTAGTATGCCATATCCCTAAAGAAATGCAATAATTTCTTACTCATATATAAAAAAAAAATTTATCTTGTTAATTTGAAGTTAATGACCGAAATTGATTACCATGAATATTTCAAAAATTAAATCGTCTTACTCTCTCTGAAAACAAAATCTCTAAAAGATGACAATTCTAAAAATATTCTCTTACTACAATTTCTAACAATCTAATCTAAATGTAAATTTTGAAAAATAGCATTCTTACATAAAAGAAACAAATCTGATGTGGTTAGCACATAACCGATCGCAATTTACATTACAAAATTTATTTACAAATGCGTTTTAAACACTCCTTTTTAGTAAGTTTTTAATTAACATTCCTCAAAAAGTGTAAATTTAACTCTTAGTAGCAATATTCACTCTGTGCATTTCGAATTCTCTGAAAAGATTCGGCATTTTTTATTCGACAGTTAGTTTCAGTAACAACCAGAACTCAAATATCAAATTTTAAGAAAATCCATCAATTCGTTCTGTAGATATGGTAAAAAATGTAAAATCGGCCCCTAACTCCGTTTCCGAGCCCTGATCTTTCTGAAAAACTTATAGGTTTATTATTTTGACAGCTCGACCTTAAATTTTAAATATATAGGAAATTAGCTGATTTTTTTTTTTTTTAGACAAAAAGGAACAATTTCCAAAGCCTGACATATCCTAAAAGATGATCAACCCATGCCATAGCCAAAATAAACTCACATATAAAATTTCTCTAAAATCGGTTCAGCCGAACTTGAGACACACGTCGGCACACAAAGACCGACAAGCAGACTGGGCGACATCTCTCTAAAAGTAGTTTATTTACGCTTCCTAAGTATGGAGAAGTTCGTTCCCACCGAAAACTCGACATGCGAAATTTGGTGCCATTCCATATTGCATTCCGACATCCGAAATTCGGTGCCATATTTCATATGGCCATAATCTTCTGTACATAATTTGGTCAGTTAAAAAAAGCAGAAATTTCCTATTATGAAAAAAACTTTTAAGTCACAAAAACAAGAATCCTTTCACTATTTCAGTCAAATTTTTTCACTGAATTATTCGGATTTCTTCTTTTTTTTTTATTTGAAATATGTGCAATCAGCATAAACTTACGTACGTAATGTTTATTATTTGCAAACTTATACAAATTGTGTTTGATCAACCGAATCATCTTTAAAAACGTTTAAATATTCTACGATATCTTTAATTGACTAATAAAATTTTCGAATTTCTTAATATATATTTGCATTGTGTAACATGTAGAAGTGTACGAATGTATATGAATTTAAATAAGGCGAATGTATAAACGTATCTCGTTTTTTATTGATATTCATTTATTTTTTTGCTTTTGTTTTGTAATAAAGTTTTATTATAAGCGCTATCCTCTCGTATAGTTGTTATATCCTCTCGAAGGATGATATCAAAATGAAATAAATTTTATCTATAAATTTCAATTGTTTTTTTTTTTTTAATATAATCCACATTGTATGTGAATATTATGTGCGTACATCTAAAATGAATTTAATAATGTTAATAAATTCTGAAATTTTGAAAATATAAAACTTAAATAAACATATTTTTACATATAATTCAATATGATTCATTTAGCTTTCCTAGTCCTGAAGTAGTGAAGGCAATTATGTATAAATAATTATGTTATATTATGTCTATATAAATAATTATAATGAAATTGAATGCAATTATTGTTGATGAGTTTTAAAAACATTGTGTATTAAAGTTCTATAGTGTAATGAAATGAAAAACTAAAATCTATTCTAGTATATCCTAAATTTTGAATTAAAAATCAAATATTTATTATCTTAAAAAAATTTCCCTAAAATATTATTATATTAAGGATCATATTATAAAGCACAAAACCTTGAATAAGCTTCTTCTAAAATTGTCTAACTAAATAAATTAAAGCGTTATCATATTCTAACCCAATCGCACTTATATTTTAAGCAAAATTATAAAAATCGGCTTCAAAATATTTGTTTTTGTTCAAATTTATAATAATATCATTTAAAATTATTTATTTATTTATATTTAAGATTTTTCTAAATATTTTTAACAGACCAATACAATAATAATTCTATAGAAGATTCAACCATCATTATTCAATATTCAACCATTTAAGAAAATATTCAATTTTTATCCACAATTCAATTTAATCCAAAAAATTTCTTACCCATAAAATATTATTATTAAAATAATATTTATGAGAAATTTTTACTGCAGTTAACCGTTTACCATATTCAAATTATTGAGTTCAATTCATTCAATACAAAACTGTTATACTGATAATTCAATCAAATACGAGTATACCATTCAGATATAGTTTAAAATAATCTAAAAAAAAATTTTTTTCCACAAAATGAGCAAAATATTTTGAAGTTGTGTTTTTGTTTTTCAAAATTTTTTACGAAAAGGATTTTAAAATTTTGTCAACTACGTAATTTAATTTTACTTTGAAAAAAATTTTTCTTTAAACTTTCATAAATCTAAATCATATAAACAAATAATAATATACAATATGTAAAATCAAGCAATTCTTGGCAACTGTATACTATAGCTAACAAAAGAGAGAAAAGAAAAAAGGATTTCATCTTTTTGTTTGTGTATATTGTTTTGTTTTTTGTTTTTTTTTTGTATGCTTATACAGCAATTCAGTGAACTTTTGTTAAAAATCTTTTTATGTTGTTCAAATTCAATGATATAATCAAGGACATTACTTTAGCAACACAAAATTTCTATTCGTATAGACTATATTTTTTTCAATATAATAAAATTCTTAGAATATCCTTTTTTTTTTTTGAAGCAATAATATGTTATATTATTAAAAAAAAAAAAGAAGAAGAAAAAAATGTAAAAGAAAAAGTTAAATTTTCTTTTTCAACTACCCAATTCATTTTTGTATAAGAAAATAATTCGAGTCAATCAAACATAAATGCTCTATATATTTAAGGACCCCAAACCTTAATAATATATTTAAGAATTTCTCTTTTTTTTTTATATCTTTTTGTATATTTTACACATAATAATTTCTCTCATGTTTCCTAGTATTTTATTTTTAATAAAATTTAAAGTGAAATAACCGCAAGCTTTTCTTTCTTCTATTTTACAATATAATTTCTTTTTTCCTTCAAATTCTCTCATTTAATATATATATGTATATATATATAAACATTTCTTTACGTTTGTGTGTTGGACATTAAGTTATACGTGACAAAAATTTAAAAATTTATTTGACAAAATCTCATCTAAATTATTTTCTTTTGAAAAATATTATTTATTTAATTTCCAGAGTAAAATTTGCTTAAAGCTAACAGTGATTACATTAGAACAATAGATTATCGAGCATAATTAATAATTAAATTTCCAACTAAATTTAAATATTTCAGTCCTTATTCCAGACCATCGCAATAAATAAAGTCTCAGATACTAGAAATTTGTGTAATTCTGAGTAATCTGTAATTATATAAGTAATAAAGTTGGGTCAAACCAACGGTTTGTATTGTAGCACTTTTCCCTTCAACAAGTGAAAATTCTGCTTTTACAAACACTCTATGTATACCTATCACGCTATAAAAATTATTTTCATTCATACACAAAACTATTTCTAGGATTGCATATATTTAGGATGACGCATATATGCATAGTCTTTGAAATAAAGCAAAAATTAATATAAAAAGGGGTTAACATAATGCTCGATTTTAAGGGTCAATTGTGTGAGTTAAGAAAAATAATTATATTTTTTAATTTCATGGAATTTACCGTTAGCCTTTTGAGTTCATAAAAATTTGGAAAAGCTTGCGGTTTCGGAAATATAAGGTGTCAAAAATTCAAATTTTACGAATTTCAAGAGGTGATAACTTGAGAGGGGGTGGAGATGGAAAAAAATTTTCTTCTAACAAAATGAACTATTTGTTAATATCTAAAAGCCCCTAAAATTTCAAAGTTCTAGATTATGGGGTCTAGAAGAAAAACGACATCAAAAATTTGGAAAAAAAGGGACTTTAGATAACGGTAAATTTGAACGGCCATTTTGTTTTTATAAAGTTTAACTATAGTATATCACGCTAGGGAAAGCAAGCCACTGCCTTTCTGCGTTTGCAAAATTTCAAAAATGCTTATGGTTTCATTGCAACAAATATTTAGAAAAGGCCATTTTTAGGGTTTTGGGGGGGTATAACTTCTAGCGGGGGGGAGATAGGTAAAAATTTTGTTCTACGGAAATAAGTTTCTAGTAAAGATCTATGTACGTATGAAATTTCAGCTTTCTATCATCAAGGGTGTAGAAGTTTTGTAAACAAAAAAAGTGTCCACGGACGGACGGACGGACGGACGGACGGACGGACGGACGGACGGACGGACGGACGGACGGACAGAGTGAAACTAATAAGCACTTTTTTCAAAAAATTTTTTGGAAAAGTGCTAAAAATTTCTATGTAACTGCCACTAAAGTGTCTCTCTCAATTACTTTTGAAATAATTAATAAACTAATAAAGCGTCTCCTACTATCGTGTTCCATTAGCATAATTCTCTTCATACTCGTATATTATAACATTTTTCTCTAAACAATGAGAATTAATGCTCATAAATTACAGCAATCTTAATTTAAAACTCCACAACAATGGTTATTAATTATTTTTACAACATTAAATTTCCTATTTTTTTTCTTAAGATTTTCTAATTATACTAAAAATTTTTTAATATTTTCTTTTATATTTCAGAGTAATGCAGCAAGAAAACGAGAAATATCACTATTTCGTAGAACAATAAATATACTTCGATTTAGGTTACCAAAAGGAAGAACTAAACCTCCTGATTGGTTAATGAATCAAGTTTCTGGTACTGAACCAACAATACCAAATGATAAAACAAATGAAGAAGCTCATGAAGAGCAATTAACAGCAGCAGCCAGATTATGTAATAGGCTTTCAGTGGATCCGTCCCTGCCGTCACATTATCGGGTAAGTAATTAAAGTTCCTCTATTTCTTGTTAATTCAATAAATAATTAATTTTTTAAAATTCAAATAAGTACGAAACAATTTTGGCTCATAAATCCGGTGCAATATTGGCAAAAAAATTAAACGTTGTCTATTGATACAAAAGCATTATTCTTTCGTATTATAAATTGAATTAAGTAAAGGTTCCTTTAAACTACAGTATAATTTTTCATTAATTTCTATATTAAATTTACTCCTTAATATATGCAATTTTTTCTATTTTATAAAATTTAAAATTCACTGTTTTCAAAATTATCTAGCTACGTAATTTTATCGATAAAATAATTCCATTTTATCAGAAATTCTAGCATATTTTAAATTCATACATTAATATTAAAAATTTATTTTATTGGAAAAATATTCAAGGAATAAATTGAATTTGATTTTCTTATAGCTATGCAGAATGTAAAATAATCTTTATTTAAGAAATACATAATATTTTTTCTCAGATATAATCTTATGGAAATTTAAACACATAATTATTGAAAAGAACTAAACCCGCTTAAAAATAAATTTGTGGAAAAACGAAATAAGATAAGCTATAATGGTTAGATAAAGGATCATTTTATTGGGTATTTAAAGTTTTGCTAAAACATTAAATTACAAATAAAAAAAAATTTTTGTTTTACCTTTTCTTTATCTTTTCACCTTGAATAAATCATGCTGCCCCGGAATGGTTCCTTTTCCGGAATCCTCATAATTTTTATTTTTTTTTTTAATGAAATGTGTTTTTTCAATAATTTAACATTGTTTTTATAGGAATTAGGGTAAAGATAATGTACAATTATTTAAGTAATAAAATGTTCAAATAACAAAATTATTTACCAAAATTTGGACAATTTAAGAATACAGAGCTTGGCGTCGTAAAATAGAAATAACGTTCGCAAAATTTTTCCATATTTATTTTCCATAATGTGTTTAAGAGAATTCTGGACGAATTTTCAATCATTTAGTAGAAGCCATAATTCTACTCCGGCTACTTTTAGCACCATTACAGTAAAAACATGAATAAATAATGCAAAACTAATTTCAATTTATATTTTCTTACTAAACCTAAAGTCGCAGACCATAATATCAGTAAAAATTTAAAAAACTTATTTGCCATGTTAAAACACCACCAGTGATTGTCCAGTATACGATAACAAACTACAAAATATAAAGATTATAAGGTTAATGTTCCCAAAGAATAATTTAGGAAATTAAATTACAAAAAAAAAACTTACTTTCTTTTCCAACAAATGGCCAAAAAAATCAATGATGTTTTTATTTATTACGAAATGTAAAACAACAAAAACAAAAACAATGTATTTTACGTCAAACTCAAAATCCTGTGAATTTCCTTTGAATTGTCTTATAATTTTGTTTTCTTATTACTTCCTTTTCATTGGCTTTGCATTGTTTTTCTTTAATTTTGTTTTTCTCATTTATTTTTTTCTCTTGAAAACCTTTTAAATACTGTGGTTCTACAATTTAACTTAATACAAAAATATTATTCTTAAATAAGGTTGTCGTACTCTAAAATATTTTCTTCACTTTTATAAATCTAGTTATAAAAATAACAAGAAAACTTGAAAAATTTAAAATATATTGAAGAATCTATGGAAATATTTATATTTAAAACTAAAGGATTTAAAATATTTATCTAAAATTAATATTATTATTTAAATTTAAAATTGCTCTAAAGCAGTTTAAAATCTTCCACTTCAAGGAGCGCAAGAAATGGAATTTTAAGAAATATTCGCCTTATTATTGTGTTACTATAATTTTAATCATTTGTTCCTCCGGAATTAAATAACAAAATTAACCGGAATTTAATATTAGCTTAAGGTTTTACTTACTTATTACTTTTAAAATTTAAACTATTTAAAACTTAAAACCAGAAATTTTTTCATTCTTAATTCTTTTTAAGATTACAAATTTTTTCTTAAAATTATAATTTTTGTGGTATTGTCCATGAAAATTTGAGAAAGTAGGAAATGTACCTGAATTGCTATATTCTCAGTAAATTTATTATGGACATAAAATAAATTTTATATGGAGGACATTTAATGAATTCATCAATTCAATGTGTATAAGGAATATGCCTCATTCTCGAAAACTAACAATTTTCAAAATTTAAGTAAAATATTTCAATTTAATAATAATTGAATATGATGAATTATTTACGATAACATTATAATGTAGAACTGAAATTTTATGTAAAATGAGCATTCTGAAAAATCACGTTCAATTTCAATAACATTCATTTACAAAAAAAAAAACAAAATATTTTTCATTTGCCATTTTAAATTTGACAATATTTTCTAATTTTAATTTAAAAAAAAAAATTTGTAAATTTAAATTCATATTAGTACCAATTGTTATTCACAAATTGATCGCTATTGAGTGTACACGTTTAGTTGCATGACAATACAACAGATTAAGATTATTGCTGTTATTTCTATTATACGTACTAACTAAATAATTTGATTACGAAATAAAAATTCTTTTAAAATATAAGAAATCAAATATATCCTTGAAATGTTTGATTTTCCAAAAAAGGTACATATAAATTAAAAGTAAATCAATTTTAGTTTTTTTAATAATTTTAAATTAATTAAATTAATTAATTACAGTAAAATAATTATATTAATATTTTTATTTTATTTTCAGTGGCTGGCAGTTGTTTCTTTAGCAGTGCTTTATAACATTATCTTTGTGGTTGGTAGAGCAATTTTTTGGGAAATAAATCGAAGAGCACCACCATTATGGTGGTTTCTTGATTATTTATGTGATTTTATATATCTTGTAGATACTTTAGTACATATGCATGAAGGTAAATATTTAAATTAAAATTTTCGATTTCAATTATTAATTTATTAGCTACATGTAGTAGTATTTATATATTGATAACACATAATTTTTATCAGGAATATTTCGTAAAATCATTAAATTTCGTTAAATTGTCAAATTATCTTAATCTCCCCAAGCACTAAACTAGTTCTGTTAAATTTAATGCAGTCAACGTGAGTATTTACATTATGGTCTATCATTCCAAATTGGCTATAAATATTTTGTTCCCATGACCGATTTCCATTTAAAACAATCAGAAAATTTTTACTTAATTCTCGCAATTTTATTATTTTTCGCAACACTTTTAAATTTTCCTTCCTTCCTTCCTTTATTACCTTGATTTCAATCTCATTTCAAATCAATAATTTTCATTCTACAATACTCACTATATAATTTTAACTTTATTATTGAGTAGAATGTAAGAGCAAAAGTACATGGCTCTAATATTGAGCTCGAAAAAAAAAAACAATTTTCATTGTCTTGCATTGTCTCAGAACTGAGAATTATTTTTTTATTTTTTCCTATCCTTTTATTCTTATTACACAATTTTTTTTTTACTTTTGTCATTTTCCAAAAACAAAATATCAAAATATCCTGCTTAAAGAGCAAAAAAATTAAAAATATATGACATAAAAAGCTTTAACGATTTTCACTAGAAATGCACTGAAATTATTTTCATTCTTTGCACATACTCGTATTATCCCAGAGGTCTGTAAAAAAATTTTTTTTATCTTATATTATACACTACTTGATCAGCTTCTAACCTTTATTACATAGATGCATTTATAATATACATACATACATATGTATATTAAATTTTAAAATCATGTCAGCTATAAATAATGTAATTTTCGTAATATTATTATTCTTACCGCATAAACATAGTAGTTCTAAAGTAAAAAATTTGTTCGAAAATAAATTTCATTTTGAACGAATGATTTGTCTATTATTATCAATTGCAACCATTATTATTATAGCATTAGCGTTAATTCTTTGTCATTTTCAAAATCGATATTTTGAAGGAAAATAATGAAAAATCTGATGTGGTCAGCACATAATTGTTAAATTGTTGAACAATATTATGAAAATGGACTTTAACAGGTTCGCTTTATGCCATTCGAATTTGTTGAAATTCTGTCTTCAATTAGCTTCGGTAACAAACAGAACGCAAATCGTCTTTACATATTCGTTAATCAGGCAATGGCTTGTGAGAGCCCCTATTACAGTGCCGATATCCTCCTGTCGGAAAAATATCAGGTTCCTTATGCAACGCAAGTCTTACTTTGGACACAACTTCCACGTCGCGTTACTTCTATTTGCCCATTTGAGGTTGGTACAGTCCACTACTGCGTTTTTTAGCAGTGGCTAATAGGTACTTAGAGGCATGAAAAAGTTCTTCTATCCAGGTAAAATCCCGACGGTTATTCCATGTCAATTCCCTGGAACTCCTCTGTGTCCAGGAACCCGAATCAAGTTTATCTCGAACTGCCTCGCTATCTCGTTAAAAGGCGACCTTCACTCTGGGACCGTTCTGGATGTAGAGACTTCGGACTCCAATGCCCTTATAACAGTCTGGCTGTTAATGAAACTATTGAGGTTATCGGCAGATACCTCACTGCTGCCAAGCCAGCGCAGAGCCTCCCCAATAGAGACCTGAAAGATACTGCAAGTGATCTTTATTACACGGAAACTTATGTTAGATGAAAATTTCAAGTCAATCTATTTAATATTTTCTTAAAAATTATCAAAAATATATAGTCGGGTCGTAGTGAAGGTTCAATTCCTGAGACTTGACATATTCCAAAAATTTATATAGGTATATGTAGGTGCATGCATGGGTATATCTCAATTTCGGTTCAGCTAAAATTGAAATATACCTACGCATGCACACAGGGACCAAAGGACTAACATCTTGTTAAGAATAGTTTATTTATGCTTCACAATCAGGGAGAAATTTCAGTCAGTATAACAACTATGAAAATTTTGTGAAAACGCCTCTAGTAATAATTTGATTAACAATTGATGATGATTTCTTATGCCTGAAAATATTAGTGAAAATTGCATATTAATGAAATTTACTGGAGATTCATCATACTTTATATATATGGAATATTTTAGTGTAATATAAATTGATTTCTATTAAATTTACGATTTTCATATATAAAATTTGTTCAAGTATTTTAAATCTTTTAGATAAGTTTATAAGGGCATATTTTTGTTTTTCAGTCCAGAGACGTTGTCTTTATAAAAAAAAAAATATTGCATACTTTCGAATTATTATGATAATTAGCTTGACCATTCATCTAATTTTGTAACGCAAAATTTTTAATAATTTTTATGAAAGGTTTGCAAAGAAAATCTTCAAGTTTCGATTAAAATTGATTAGAGATCTGTACAAAAGGCCGTGTACAACTTATCACACGATGACTAATAAATATCCAAGATAAAAACCGAATTTAGTTGATTAATTTTTGAGGAATCCTATTAACTGAATTACATAGTACTTTTCTGTTCATCTTCCTTGCAACAATGTCCCCTGTACAATTGTAAACTTATTAAATTTTAAGCTTCTTATTTATTTGAACCCTTTTCCGACATATTTTTTTTGAAAATTTTTTCATACTTTATTACAATTTTTTACCGTTTTCATTTTATATAGTTCATCTTTTGATAGCATTTCGTGTATCACAATTACAACTGAATGACACAAAAATTTTCAATTCTTTAAATTTCTATATACAATAATATTAAAGGTAAATTTTCATTTGAAAATTCAAATAGTCATCAGGACTAATAACGATGAACCACATATCAAAACCGTTTATAAATTATTTTTTGACAACATACGTTATCCATTTAATAGTTTGATTAATAATATTATCAAACTCACACTACCTAAATAATAAACTAAAATAATAACTTGCTAATAATAAATTAAATGGAAAATTTTAGATTCCCTTTTATCCCTTTTTTAATATTTCGAATAAGCACGTGTATCATTTGATGATTAATGACTATGAATTTATAATATTATTTTTTCTGGTCATTAATTTATGAATCATTGCAAAAATGATAATTTGTTTTGATGCAAAAAAAAAAAGTTTTTTATTCACCTTTTATAAGTTCAGAATAATAAAATTTTACAATAAATTAATCAAAATGTAAAAGAAACTGAGATTTCCCTTCAAAATAACATGTCGCAGCTACCGGGAAGGCAGTTAAGAAGGAGACCATTTTTCACTATTTCTGCTAGAGTTCAGCTCTGGGCGAGATAAAACTGGTCACGTGGGACTGAGTATGTGTAACGAGTCTGAACGAAATAATAAAGATTAGTATCAAAGGGGATTTATATCGATTACATAAGAGAACCGATAGGTCACCTATAATCGTAAGCTCAATGATAGCCTAGTGATCACAGGGTAGTAGTAGTAAAACGATTAATTAAGCACATTGGTGCTAATTTGGCAGATTAATTGTAGTTGTGAAGTGTGTATAGATGATGAAATTTTTAATATAGAATTGCAAGAAATTTATATAAACGAAAAACGCATAATACTTTACCAATTGCTGGTAAAATCTAGTTTATAGAGAGAAAAGATATTCTAAAAACATTATTAAAGGAATTTTTTAATAACTTCATCTCATTCGTAATACGCGTAATACGCTACACGTCTTTGTAAAGCAAAATAATCTTATAATTATCATAAAAAAAATAGCATTAATCATGTGTTAAAAAGGATAAAATACAATAAACTATAACAAAATAAATCGAATCCGAATTCTTTAATATTTCAATTTCTTTTTAAGAATTGACAGCGCTCTCGTATTGTTGATTACTTAATTATACAAAAATATCATTAGTTTGAAATTTTAGATTGAATTCCATTCAATATATTGAATAAGAGAAACGATTTTTAAAGAGATTTAATATGAAAAATATCAAGGATATTGAATAATTTTTTAAAGGATATTTTTTGTTTTGTTCAATTTTGAGTTTTTATAACAAAAACTTTAGCAAGAATAGAAATCAACCAATTTTTTTTTTCTAATGAGAATAAAATCAAAGTAAAATGAAAGAAAAGTAAACGTGAAGAAATTTTTTAAATTAATTTTTTTTTTTTTTGCCTTTCTTTTTAATCCTACATGAAAATTCAATTAAACAAGTTAAGGGTAGAGATTTGAAAAGGTACAATATAATTTAAGTTTTCGGGTTTTTTTATATTTGGCAAAAAAAAAGGTAAAAATATTTTAAGATTAAATTGTTGAAATAATTTTTTTTTTTAATTTAATTTCTATAGAGCGCTTAGTATTCTGAAAATTTTGCGTAATTTCAATAAATTCGAATCGAAAGAATAAAAAAAAAAATTTTTTTTTTTGTATGGTGTTAAGATTTTTTAATTCAATTTATTACGAAACTTTTCTTGTCTCAAACAAAGAATCTTGTAATCTTTACTTATCTTGCTTATCAATTAAAAGTTTTTAAAAATTACAATAAATTTGAAAAATCTTTTTATTTATAATTATTAATAGACTTTATTCTGACAGACTATTACTCTAAGCACAAATGACTAGAATGTTACACAATTTTGAATCAATCTGATTTCAAAACGAGAAAAAAATAGAGTTGACATTGTCAACTCTGTGATACCCGTACGAATTTGTTATCCTATGTGGAATAAAGATACCATAACTGACTATGGGACAAACTATGACTTTAAGTATTACCGTATTACCATATTAATTTATGCAAAATTTCAGTGCTATGTGCTTTTCAAAATACTGTGTATGCCAAACTATTATTAAAGTTGTACGACAGCTATCAGAAGGAGCCAAGCAATTTCAACGACTTTTATCAAACACATCGGACCTACTTATATATTTACCTGTGCGAAATTTCAATACCATAGCTTTTATAGTTTCTGAGATATAGTCGAATAAATTTTGAAGTTGTATGGCAGCTATCCGAACCGGTATCCCGATCAT